CTTTTTTGTTCCCAATAATGGTTGCACATACAAAATTCAATAATCTTAATAAGTCAATGCAAAGGCAACGTTTAGAACAAATTCACCAAATAAAACCCAAAATATCGATATGCATGAATTGGACAAGCAAGTTCACGAGAGAAGGAAGCACAAATGAAATAAAAAAACAAAAAAAAAAGGATATATGGTATTAACAACCAAAACCTTATTTTCTCAAAAAAGGGTCAAGAACCATATGAGCGTACCTCTTGGTTTATCTACATACGTACATATAAAAATATATGTGATTTATGTTGATTACCTGCTACAATAGAAAACACAAAAAAAAACAAAAGGCTGGTAGCAATCTAGAGATGAGAGAGAGAGAGGTACAAATGATGATTTCTGAGGATAATATTGCAAATAGAGATTAAAAGATAGCCAAATGAGACAATCTTTATGTCTTCTTTTATGAGGTTAACAGATCCGCAATATGACCAACGATGCATGGTTGTTAATAACAATCTAATTATTTGTGATGAGTCTTGGTAGGCTTATGTTTGCCGTAACTAATTAATAGATGGATTAAAAATTTATATAATTTATTAGATCTTCATTGTTTAATTAATAGATAGGTTTATCCGCACCCCACGAGGTTTTATAAAGTTTAGTTGAACATATGGTCAAATATTTGTGCACGCAATTTGTGACTGTGATTTACCGATTTACGGTTTTGCTATGGAGCCAACGGTTGGGGACATATGGGGATCATAGCCTAATCTTTTCAATTTATTCGTACCAATTTATTCCACCTTTTTTTATTCTTGTAAGGTGACATATGGGGATCATAGCCTAATCTTTTCAAAAAATCCAAGATAAACAACACATTTAGAACTAATGCCACAAGTAATAGGCAAGATTTATAATTTACAAGCACATATCAATTACATATTCCCACGGGATGGTATCATAGAAGTGGAACGGGCCTAATGTACAATATATATTATGGCGACTAATACCACTCAACCTTCCGTGAAGATTATTAGAAACAGGAGCCTACCGTCCAAATATTTTCACAATTCTAAAGCTCAATAATATGAAACCAAGCCAAAATGAAGAGGCAACAACTTAATCTAGACAAAGGCATTACCACCATTAACTTGGTAGTAATTACCTCAACAAAAGCCCAGGGCAGAGAAGCTTCCATCTAACCAGCAGCAATCACTCCCTACCATATGCAACCTCATCATCATTCATCGAGTTTTCTTGACATAACAACTTATCCTCCACGGCAATCGACTTCAGCCTCAGGCCCGGCCCAGCATCTTCCTCCGCCACATCATTATTACCTTCACCATTTTGGTAATCATGCTCCGATCTCTTATCGTCGTCCCCAAACAATGGCTCCACATTCACATCTGAAACCAAATCAAACCCTGATTGCCCCTGAACTCCCCCAGAGTACGAAGCAACCGTGACATCCCCAATCTCGGGCGCTTCTTTCTTCTGCCGTCTCCATTTCTTAGTGGAAGAGGTCCCATCGTCCTCGAAATCCTCCTCCTCCCGATCCCTGTGCAAGTATACCCAAAGCTTCCTCTCGCCATCAAACTGGACGCATGGGTCCCGCTCGTAATGCAGCCGGTCCAATGCACCACTGACCACTTGATTCACCTGGGCATCAGATACATCCTCCACAATGTACTGCGAGTCCCGAATCAACGTGCACACATCGGCCCTCGTGCCTATGCTCCCAGGCAGTCGGGCAGCTGCATCCCTCACAAGGCACAGGATGGTGACATGTGGCGGCCGGTCGCGCTTCAGCATGAAATGGTCGCGGGCTTTCGACGTGGGCTTGCCGCCGCCCCTTCGCAGGGGGGCGACTATCGTTTTCTTGCCATCGACAGCCGTGTATGAGAAGGCCCGATCGGGTATTAGATACCGCAGGACTTCCTCTTTCCGAAAGTAGTCTTTGACTTCTTCGGAGCTTGAGCCTATGGTGTTCAGACTCTTCTGGGCTCTTAGGTCCTTGAACCTCTCCTTCTCGTCCAGATTGATTTCCAGTAGGGTCAGTGGTGGGTCGGGAAGAGACCCGATCTGCCGAAGCGTTTCCTGGCTGTTTTTGAACCAGTTGGCGAAAGAGTCGACCAACTTGACGAGCATTTTGTGAGGTAGGCCCCAGGCATCTGGTGAAGTCACCTCCACGGCTATCTCGGAGTTGGAAAATGTTAGAGAGAGAGTACCAGTCCATAACCAGCTTTTCGTGGGCTTCTTATAGACGACAAGCGGTTTCCACCCCTTTGCCCCCAAAGGTGCAGTCCGGGATGAGAATATTTTCAAAACGCCTCTGATCAGATCCTGAAGTGGTTCTTGTGTTTCAAGAATACAGGGATCGCCGGGGTTTGATCGAACACGGCTAACAATTTCCTGAATAGTGAGAGAAGGGATGTTTGATTGGGCTGAAGGCTCAGAAGTGTTGGCATCCGTATTGGCATTTGTACTATCAGTGTTAACATCTTCCTGGTTACGGTCTTTCTCATCCTTACATCCCTGTTCGGAACCATTATCATTGAGATGCTTTTCAGCCTCTGAAGAATCTTCTGGAAGCATCGTGATCATAGCCATACGAACAGCTGAAAGAAGATGTATAATGGAAAAGGAGAAGCCACTGTGAACAGTAGGTGTGACTAGAGGAAAGGATTTTTCATGTCGTTTAGTTTCAGCCTCAACATCTTCAATTTCGATTTCGGTCGCAGCTGGCACAAAAACTGCATTCCCTTGAGAATCGAAAACATCTTCAAACTTGTTATTTCCACATTTCTTGGAAGAGCTGATATTACCAAGTTGCAGCTCAGTATCAGCATTAAGGTGCTCTTGATGATCTCGTAGGTCCATGTATGTCAAGTCCATCTTTACTTTCCTCTTCTTGGAGAAAGTTTCACACCCCATCAACGGTACATTGAATCTTTCTGGTTGATAACCAGCAGAAAGGTCACCTGTCTGACCTTTCTTCCGTAACTTGTGAGGAACCCCAATATCAGCTACCAGAGACCGTGGCATGTATTCTTCAAATTTATTGTTTTGCATATAACTGGACTTAGGAAGACTCAGATCACGGGAAACATCCTCCTTTTGCCTTTTCTCAAGTGCCAGGGAGGATTTCAGTGACGGCATTTGGTAACCGTACCCATGATTCTCTTCTACATGACCATTTCGCTCCAACTGGTAGAATTGTTGCCGATCATCCACACCAGTTGCTCCTGGGATATAGTTCCTATCAGAATCTTTCGGTGGCAAAACATTGCCAACATCATGCATCTTACCCTTCTGTCCTGGATGAATCATCACACGAGTTTCTCCATAATTTTCCATCTTCCGAGTGAAGTGTGTTGATCCATCACTAGTTAAATAAGTGTTTTTCTTATCTCTCTTGAGAAATTGGGTATTTTGTGTATCTGGAACAAATTTTGGGTCTGGCTCGCCACCAGGGTATGCCCACCTGCTCCTCATCAATGGATTGTCGTCTTTATCCTCATCCAGATGTTCTGATGAATCTGATTCAGTGTCTTCGCTTCTGGATAATCTACTGAAACCTCTGTTACCTGCCTCATTTCTTCTTCCATGGAAAGATCCTGTATTGAACTTATCCTGCGGAAAATTAGCTTTGTAATTGGTATGCAATAATCTATCTTTTCCAATTAGATCAACAGCTTCCCTACCCATCTTTGACCTCTTAGTTTTTGCATTAGACCCACTAGGTTTACTTGATAAATCAGCGGGAAATAACCCTACTTGTCGACCGAGCCATGTTGGATCATTTGCATCTAAAAGATCCCTTTGACTTCCTCTTAAAAACAAACATGACTTCTGATCTTTACCAAATTTTACCCTATTATCAGCATTAAATTGCTGAAGATTCTCAGTGTTCACATTTGTACCTCCATCATACATTTCTATCACATTAGACGGTTTCACAGTCAGCACCTTGATGTCGGACAACTTATTAATACCCTTACTCCTGCCAAGAGCATGTAAATTGTTCCTTGCTGTGATAGGCACTCCCATTAAGCTTCCTCTATCCTCTTCAGCTTTTGGGCCTTTCCGGTTTTTCCATTTAGAAGCTCCAGACTCATCAACCTTAATATCAGCCCCATCCTCATCCTCTAGAGTATGCTCATACGTGGAATTATTATTATACAAGGGAACAGGGGGGCCCAAACCATATCTCCCTGTCTTTATTTCGACTTCAGGTGGAACTAAAAGGAATGGCTCAGAAAGCTCTTTCACTGAAGTGCTTTTTGGTCCAGACAACTTCAAAGTTCCTCGTGAATTGCGTTTCCCGTATTTTCCTGGCTCCAAGGTAGTTTTCCGTCCATGAGAAAAAACATCGGAGGCAAGACCCATGCCATACCCAGAATAGCGATTTGCCTTCTTCCTCAGCTTCTGATCACTCATCTTTTTATCCCACAGAGCATCACCAGAATCATCTTCGTTAGATGACTCGCTTCCATACTCTTTCATGTTCTCGTTCATCAAACTCTTCTGACTCCTCATAATGTTCAACACACGAAGCTTCTCCTCAATACTGTAACCCTCGTAATTCAGCCACGCGTCCCTTATTTGACAGAAATTGTTCACCATAGCATTATGATGCTTTCGCAAGTTAAGATAATGCCTTCTTCTCTTCAAGAAATTCAGACCTTGTCTGTAAAGGGCCACCCTTGGCTCGCACAACCCTCCCTTCAACATCTCAAACAGTTTGTCGATAGGGCTCCCAAAATGCAGGTTATCACCAGAGAAAAGTTCTTTCAGGGTGCACATGAAATTCTCATGATCAATATCAGGTAAATACTTGGAAAGAGCAAATCTTTCCTCCTCAGTGAGAATCTCATTCCACACTTCCATAGAC